TACCCTATTTGATTATACAAAGTAGCCGTCTTTCCATACGCTTCCACTTGACCTCGTCTTACTTTAAATTCTTATATTCTTCACTTTCTTTTTGTTTTTCACACCTCTAAACTTCATCATCATCATTTTAGCCTGTTAGCGACCACAGCTGAACATAGGCCTCCCCCACAGACTGCCACGAAGCCAGTGAAAGCAAATAAAACATGGAAGCATCATCGTTGCTCCGAAATGGCTTAGCGAAAAACTGTACCGCGATAGGCGGGGCTTGTAACGTTACCGCGAGGCGGTTTTAGAAATCCTGTCCAGGGATGACAATATATCTATATATAAAAATGAATCGCTGAATGTTGCTAAGCTCAAATCTCGAGAACAGCTGGACCAATTTCGCCAATTCTTACGTTCTTGCGGAGAAAATTTCAACAATTACCTGAATAAGTCTAAATACAACACTTTTCTATATTCCCATACAATAGATTTGTAACAATACTTAAAGTCAATTTGAACTTTAATACCATACCATAATGTTTAAATGTTAGTAGAGGCGTTCCGGGAAGGCAAAACAAGTGAGTGAATGTGGTAATATGTCACTTGAAATGTAAACGTCTATAAAAAAATGTTCCCTTACAAAAGATTCGTAAATAATATTTAAAAGTCAATTTGAACTTTAATACCATACCATAATGTTTAAGTGTTAGTAGAGGAGTTCCGGGAAGGCAAAACAAGTGAGTGAATGTGGTAATATGTCACTTGAAATGTAAACGTCTATAAAAAAATGTTCCCGTACAAAAGATTCGTAAATAATATTTAAAAGTCAATTTGAACTTTAATACCATAACATAAAGTTTAAGTGTTAGTAGAGGAGTTCCGGGAAGGCAAAACAAGTGAGTGAATGTGGTAATATGTCACTTGAAATGTAAACGTCTATAAAAAAATGTTCCCTTACAAAAGATTCGTAAATAATATTTAAAAGTCAATTTGAACTTTAATACCATAACATAAAGTTTAAGTGTTAGTGGAGGGGTACCGGTAAGGCAAAACAAGTGAGTGACTGTGGTAAAATGTTGAAATGTAAACGTAATGTAAACTCTTTGCTATGCATCACTACATAGTATAAAACAAGGTCGTCCCGCTGTCTGTTCCTATGTGCGCTTAGATCTTTAAAACTACGCAACGGATCTTGATGCGGTTTTTTTTTACCTGATTCAAGAGGAAGGTTCATATGCATAATACATTGCACCCGTGCGAAGCCGGGGCGGGTCGCTGGTTCCAAAGCGATACAAAGTTATAACTACACTCCGTAACTGAAACGCGGCGAGCGGCGTAGCCACTGACCGGGTCCGCGGCTGGGGCCGGAAGGCTTGCTGCTTGTTGACATGGAACCTGGACATCGGACCTGGGGGAAATCCGTCAGCCGGAATGTGCTATGTTCCACGAGAGGTTGAACCACGAGTTTGCTGTTGTGGACGCATACGAAAGCATTCCCGAGACCCAGCTAATTGGGCCCTGCATGGACTGGAGCTCATGGTCCGGAATGACCGATGCTTGCACCACATTAAGAACCAACCAACAAACCCCAAAATTAATTAAAAAACTAAACTGTGACACTCGGCGACTGCCGCGGTAAAGCTATTGCATAGCATTTTTCATCAAGTTATGCAATTATAATTATTTATTTATGCAGTATTTTTTTTTCTTTGATATTAATTCAAATTACACTTTTTGAGCGTGGTGACCGATAAGAAAACATTTTTTTCTTTTATTGAAAAAATGAGAAGTTAATATCGTATAAAATATTTTTATTATCTTAGAATACATGTAGGTTGTTCAGGAATTTTTATCGTTGAAAGTATAGGTTTATAGTAACTGAAATAAGAAACATAAGTTTGAGACTTGATATCCTCTAAATATCATATCATCATATGTTTTTTTTTGTCCTACCATTTACATACACGTTAAGCGAACGCTCGGCCGAGCTACATGGTACGCGGAGTAGGGGGTGTTAGGTTTTAGTTTCGTTACGGAATTTCTTGATTCGGTCGTCGCACTCAAAGCCCGCGATAAAAGCTATGCAATAGCTTAAAAAGCATCTGCGATTTCGCTTGCTGTGACGACCAGCGTGGAGTCTAAGCTGTTATTATGCTCTGCGCACTTTAACAGCAAACGTTACATAATACTTCCCCGAACGAGGCTGCCCATTTGCGCAACAGCCTAAGGTGCTCCCCGGGCCTACCACAGCAATCCAAATTCCACTTCTTTATAAGTACAAAAACACTTACCAACGTCATGATTTTTTTACGTGAAAAGCTGATGTTAAGTGAATGCCGCCGCCCATGGACATTGGCTACACCCGAGGGTTCCAGATGCGTTGGCAACCTTTTGAAAATTGGCATCTGGCCATCTCACTCAACAGACGACTACGAGGACTATTACATTAACAAAAGCAATTTTACAAGTTATTTCTACGAACAACAGATAAAGTCCTTACTTCCTTTATTAATATTATAAAGGGGAAAGTTTGTATGTGCGTACTCTCTCACGCAAATACTACTGAATGGATTTTAATGAAACTTTACAATCATACAGCTTATACATCAGAATAAGACATAGGCTATTATTTATATAATTATCTATATATTTTATGTATATCTGTCTTTCTGTCTGATTGTTACGCCTTCAGCTTATTCTACGCAGACGTAGCCGCGGGCAGCAGCTAGTCCTTACTAATATTACAAAGGCGAAAGTTTGTATGTATGGATGGATATTTGTTACTCTCTCACGCAAATACTACTGAATGGATTTTAATGAAACTTTACAATAATATAGTTTATACATCAGAATAAGACATAGGCTATAATTTATATAGATATATTATGTATATCTGTCTTTCTGTCTGAACGTTACGCCTTCAGCCTATTCTACGCAGACGTAATCGCGGGCAGCAGCTAGTACCTAATAAATTAGTGCAACAGACATAACCGTCGTTACCTCCTCCGACATTGAAGTGACCGTACAAACAGCAGTCCGGCCTTCATTTGAATTTTTAAAATAGGATTTTGAAAAAAAAAAAAGAACAAAATATAAAACCGCCAGTTTTATAAGAATACAACAACACGGTTTGCAACTGAGTAAAATAAAACCTCGATACTTTCCTGTCTACGGGAAAAGGATAAGCTTCCTGATGACCTTGTTTATAAACGTACACGACGCGACGAAAAATTTATCAATAGTGCTTTTTTAATTGTCGAATATTATCCTTTAAAAACATCTATCATACCTAAAATCATTATATGCATTTTAATTGCACAAGCGGTTTGATTGCTACCAGTATCTAACTGATAAAAATAAAAAAAGTAAAAATAAGGAACACGATAAAATATTGTAATTATTGCTAAAATTGTAATTGTAATTATTGTAATTATTATGTATTTGTGCCATTTGCTGTTGAAACATTAGGTCCGTGGGGTCACCGCACATCAATTTTTTTTAAAAGTTTATGTCCTAGGCTTAACGCCGCGGCTGGTGACAAAAGAGCTGGTTCTTTTCTCGCGCAAAGGTTGAGCATAACTATTCAGCGAGGAAATGCAGCTAGCGTTCTTGGCACCATGCCGCGTGGATTAGGTTTATTAGATAATATGTAATTTTTGCTAAAATACATTGCAGTAAATTATTTTTACAAATATCACAATATTTTTTCTTGTCTCATCACCGTTTTTCATCTTTGCAGTCTGCAATTATGTTTTTAAATCATTTACATAAACTTATAAAACTGAAAAAAAAGAAAAAGAAATATAACTTCAATAAGCCAAAACATAAAAATTCGACAAAAATCCTAACACTAGTGACAAAAGGTTCAGTTTATTAACCTTTCATCTACCATTACTTAATCTGCAAAAGAACATCCTAGGCCCTAGTACATTTCATTACAATGTTTACAACTGTGCCAAGAATTTGCAATAAAAAATATATCGATGTCTCATCCTACGTTTTAATATTCTAAACTTGTCCCAACTCCTTGTTGAAACATGTATAAAGGGAAATCACAATTTGCAAACTTGTTTATACACAGAGAACTAGATACTTATTCTTCAACATTTAACGAAAAAGAAACGATTAAAACAC